TGTGTGTGTCCTCACATGCCTGTTAGGGAGAGAAACCTTGCCTCCAGAGACTGGTGTCAATGTATGGAACAGGCGGCCAGGTTTCTTCATGGTCTGGGGCTGCGGGCTGGATGAGGAGCACAGCATGGCATGGGCCCCACACCCACCTCAGCCTCGGGAGCAAGATGGAAGACTGCAGAGCTGGGAAGCCATCCGCGTCTTCCAGCTCCTCTCTGATTGAAGTGACTTATTCCTCCTGGAAGTTTTCTTTTAGAGTTACAGACACGTGGGGGGGAGCAGGGTGCAGAAGAGCGGATCTCAGCTCATCAGAGGGGCTGCCCACACCCGCTGAGTCACTCATAATGGCCTCTCGGATGTCATTTTCTTGCTAAGACATCAGGAAAAATGTTCTGCTCCTGGGAAGAAAGCAAACACTGTAATTCAGCAGTCTTCTCTTGAGTTGTTCAAGGACCATCAGTTCATCCGAAATGGAGGCTCGGGATGGATGAAACCCACGGGTGCTAAGATCACTGTTTTGAAACCCATGAGTGCTAAAAGCACTGTTCTGCTCCGCATTCAGTTTCACTCTCCGAGTGGGAGTCGGGGAGTTCCTTCTGACCCAGGGCACAGCTCCTGGGGGAAGTCTGAAAGCGGCTGATTGGGGGCTTCTGTGTGACACTGGCATTTTCCTTATCTTCTTGGTTCCATTCCCATAATAGACCCCCAGAGTCATCCAGGAAAAGGCTTGCTACAACCATTTTCTTGTGGCCTGCTGATTGTGACAGCCTGGAGAGGAAGGTGTTTCCCGGGAAGGGCTGACTGGCCCTGTATAGGAATCTCAGTGCCTCTGCTCGCTGTCCCACCTTGAATGCTAAAAAGACCCCCAGCTTCTGCCCTCTGTGACCCCACAGCAGCATCAAGTGAAGCTATGCACTTGAACTCAGCCATCCCTAACCTGCCCTCGCCATATCCCTTCCCAGGGGCCAGAGAATGACTTTGTCATTCATCACAGAGGGCCACCCTGCATTGCTTGTTACAGTTCAGGGCTAAGGGGTCACTTCCAGACTGGCAAGAGATCAGACCCGAGGGTGACGCTGTCCCCTCTGAGGACACTGCTCATCTGCATCTTGAACAGGGCAGTTCCGTCGATCTGAGACATTGCCATATAATTATCCCATACCGGCATATAAGGAAGCGACAATGGAAAGCTATCTTCCTGGGAGACCAGGTGTCGTCACGCACAAGGAGCCTATGATCCAGAAGTTCTATGTGTGTGCTCCTAACCCTGGCAGTGTAACTCAGCACTCTGGACCCCCAAGCATCAGGGATGTCCAGGAGGCTGTGTCCACCGGGGGTATCCACTCAGACAGCTGCATCCCAACCTCCATGAGCACCTCTGAGGGGTTGGGTCAATCTATCTCACTACACTGACTTCTCCAAAGAGACTTGTGACTTTGAGGCTGTTATTCTGGGTTGAGCAGATCAAGACATTCTCAGCCAGGAAAGAGATGGGCCCCTCTCAGGGGCTGCCCTGGGTAGCTGCCAGCCCTCTCCTGCCCAGCATCTTCCCTACCCTGGCTCCCTACGGCCCAGCATGCAAAGCTGAGCACTGGGCCAAGACTGAATAAACACTGCTGATGATACAGGAACGAAGCAAACAAGACCTCTCTTTTTGCCAACTGCCCCATTAACAGAACAGCCTTTTAGGGGACCATCTGGAAGGCAGGCTTTCCCTCCCTAAGCAAACTGAGATGACCAAGAGGAATGCACTCAAGAGAGGGCCGCTCCAGGGGTACCCAAGCACACTGGGCCCTGCTCATACAGCGGAGAAGGAACACAGGGAGATCAAAAAGGGTTGCTGGAGCCAGCCCTGAGGTCCACACAGCAAGGCAGCAGCATGCGGCCACACGGGGCCTCTTTCAAGGCTTCTGCACAGAGGCCAGGGCCACCACGGACATGACTTCCCACAATAGCTCACTGTGGCTGACTGTTCCCTGCCCAGCTGCGCCCGATAGACAAGCTTCTTGGAACACTTTCTGCTTTCAGCTTAGACCACCTCTGTGTGTGTGTGTGTGTGTGTGTGTGTGTGTGTGTGTGTGTGTGTGTGTGTGTGTGTGTGTGTGTGTGGTTGGGGGGGGTTGGAGGAAAGCAGCCTTGAGCACGGTGTCCCTGCACACCATGACAAGGGTGTGCTCCTGAAGGAACGCATTATGCATAGGCTTTGAGGAAACCTGCCTTTCTCAGCCGGGCTGTTCAGACTGGTGCAGCTGTTTTAGTGACCACTCTGACAAACACTGCCGAGCTGTTGTGTATCTGGCGATGTAGGGTCTCTAGGCTGACATGAGACCAGCAGCCTCTGGCTGGCCAGGCGATAAGGGGGTGCATCTGAATGAATAATGCGTTTGAGTAATAAGAAAACAGCTGTCCACGGACGCTGCACACTTCTGATGCTAGGGATGTGAGGGCCTCCGAGGGCAAGGCAGCTGCCTCTGAGCAGTCAGGGTCCTAAAGACAAGGGGGCCATTAAGAGTGAAGTAAGAGAGAGGCTAGAGGGTGTGCTGGCTTCTGAATGGACCCTCTGTGCCACTTATTTAATGAATTGTATCTTTAGGCTGATTCTGTGCTGGGGGACACATGTCACAGTGCATGCGGACGTCAGAGGACACTCTGCAGGAGCTGGTTCTCTCCTCCTAGCCTCTGAGGCCCTGGGGACTGAGCTCAATCGTCGGTCTTGATGGACGGCGCCTTGGCATGCCCACCCGCCTCCCTGGCTCTTGTTACCTTTGAGACAGGCGCTCACGATGTGGTCCAGGCTGCTCATCCTCTGACTTGTGGTGACCCTCCTGATTTAACTTCCCCAGTTGATGGGATGACAGGCGTGTGCCAACACACCAAACTTGTGTGCATTTTTTTCTTTAATTTTCCCCCCTTTTCATGTGTATGTGTCGGGGGGGGGGGGTGCATGCGTGTGTTTGCCTGTTTTCCTGTGTGTGGGTGCACACGTGTGTCCAGGCATGTGGAGGCCTGGTTCTAATTTCAGGAACTTTTCTCCATTTATTGTTTGAGGTGGGGTCTCTCAGTCTAACCCAGAGCTTGCCAGACAACCTGGCTTTCCTAGCCAGCTTGCTCTGGAATCCCTATCTCTTCCTTCCAAAGCTGGACTTACAAGGGGACTTCCACACCCACATAGACTTCCATGAGGTCTGGGGATGTGAGCCCGGGTTCTCTCGAGTACACAATCGTAACCGCTGAACCCGTCTCCCAGTCCCCCATGATTGTTAGTGTGTGGAAGACACTGAGAAACACATGTGCATTTTTACACCCCCCCCCGAGTTTGCACATTCTCCTTATCTTTGTGGTGTGGCCGTTCAGGCTGTGAGGTAGGCTCCGAGGCTGCAGGGGTGAAGCTTGCACTGGCTTTGCAGAGAGGCCCGTCCTCAGTATCGTCTTGATGGGCGTGCTCAGCACCCCCTCAGCACGGCCAATGCTGCGGTCAGCTTTGTGCGTGCTCCCCAGTGGAGTGTCCCCTGACACTCACGGGCCCCCATGCCACAGCCACAGTTGAGACAGAGTGTGGACGTGGTCATTCCATCCGATAGTCTCAGTTCACATTGGGTTTTGTCGTCAAGCCCAGGTTCTCCCAGCACAGCAGCTCCGTCTCCAGCTGTGGAATCCCTCTGGGATTGGCGTCTGGGGATGGGCACCTTGGTCAGAATGTAGAACTGTGTACTTGACCTGGCCCTCTGGAGACAAGGTCTTTCCCAAGGCTTCTCTTTGGCTCTGAGCCCAGGCCCCTCCATGGGCTGATTTAAATCCTGTGGAGGGAGAGGCTGTTGTCCTGTCTCTCCCTCATGAGCCGTCTCCCTGTGCATTGGGGGGGGGGCTCCACTGAGCCTAAAGAAAGTTTCTCGGAGACACCCCTGCGCAGGCCCTCGGGAAAGAGTGTCACGGGTTATCCCCATCAGTGTCACTGGTCTAATGTAGGCAGGCAGCAGGCTTTGAATGTCTAGCCTTAAATCCAGCACGGTCCTCCCTTGGGTCCACACCCTATGAGATGGTTTCTCGGGCCTGTCACATCGTCAGGTTCCCGAGGGTCAATCTCTGGAAGAGGGGCTGGAGGAGAATTTGAGACTAGGTAGCCCAGTCTGGCCTTGAACTCACTATGTAGCCAAGGATGCTCCTCCTGCCTCCACTTGCATGTGCTAGGATTATATGTCTTTTTGTTGTTGTTGTTGTTGTTGTTGAGACAGGGTTTCTCTGTGTAGCTTTGGAGGCTGTCCTGGAACTCGCTCTGTAGACCAGGGTAGCCTCGAACTCACAGAGATCCGCCTGCCTCTGCCTCCCGAGTGCTGGGATTAAAGGCGTGCGCCACCAACGCCCGGCAACACGTGCTAGGGTTATAGACATGCACCACCACACCTGGTTTACATCCGGGCGCTTTATGTACGCTAGGCAAGCACTCTGCCAAACGGAACCACAGACCCAGCTCCATATTTTCTCTCTTAATGGCGTTATATTCCTGTTTAAAAGGTTTCTTTGACTTTTAAAGTGTGTGTGCACACGTGTACGCGTCTGGGTAGAAGTGGTGTGTGCACGTGTGAGCGCAAGCGCCCCCAGAAGCCGAAGCTTGGATCCCTGGAGCTGGCGTTACAGGTGGTTGAGAGCGACCTGATCTGGGCGCTGGAAACCAAGCTCCATTCCTCAGCAAGAGCAGTACCCGCCCTAAACCGCCAAGCCTTCTCTCCAGTCCTGTCCAGCCATCACCCATGAGTGTCACCCATAACTCATGGAAGTCAGTGACACCACCATAGCCCTGTAGAGACCACGCCTGCGAGAGGGGCCAGCTCTGGGTCCCACTAGGAAGTCTCAGTCAGGCTCATATCTAGGAAATGACTGGGCAGAGCTCAGGACAGACAAGCACCCCTCTTACCATGACTGTGGAAAACGGGCAAGGCCTGGGGTGGGGCCTTCAGCCAAACACACCCTTAGGCCAATTGGGAGAGCTGCTGGGTGGGCTGGTCCCACCGGGGCCATGAAAGAAACTGCAGCGCCCAGCTCACACTGACAACCCAGCTTCTGGACACTGAGACTTAACTAATCCTTGGGTTCGAGGCTAGGATGCGGGAGATCGTGCACATCCAGATTGGCCAATGTGGCAACCAGATCGGAACCAAGGTAGGCAATGCCACAGCAGTTTGTCACAGGTTGCAACCAAACCAACAGATGCCCAGGTTCCTGGAAGGAGGAGGCCTTGCTAAATACTTGCTAAATAGATGGCTTATTAAACAAGGTCTTTTAGCAAAACCATTAGAGTTGGAGTGTTAATTAATGTTAATTTTGCCTGTAATTATATGTGTAAATGGGTACAGGAGCCATTTTGCTTTTAGCATTTTAAAAATGAGCTTTCCACATCTAAAAACAGTAATTTGTTTCAAGAGTTTTCTGAAGCTTTTTGGGAATTTTTTTAAATTTAAATTGTGTTTATTACAATTTGTGTATATATGTGTGAGTGTGTGTGTATGCATGCTGTGTGTATTGGGGTGTATATGTATGTATGCTGTGTGTGTGTTGTGTATATGTGTGTGTGGTGTATGTATGTGTGTGTGTGTATATTGTGTGTTTTGTGTGTGTGTGTGTGTGTGTGTGTGCAGGCATGGTGCTCCAGCATGCATGTGTGTGTCAGAGGACAGTTTTCTAAGTTGCTCCTCCCCTTCCACTGCGGGCCCCAAGATCAAATTCGGGTCATTAGGTTTGACAGCAAGCTCCTCTACCAGGTGAGCCATGTACAAAGCAGTTCTTTAAATGTTCTTTAAAAAGTTCAAATTGATTACTTGGGAGGGAGGTTGCGTGCTGCTGTGCTCCTGTGATGCTCAGAGCACAACCTGCTGGAGCCGGTTCTCCCTTTCATCAGAGGGGCTGAACTCGGTCGGGTCTGTGAGCTTGGCGGCCAGGCTCTTTACCCTGCTGAGCCATCTTGCCAGCCTTCCTGGAAGGTTTCCTGTTTTGTTAATACCATGTCACTGTAGTGCCTTCTGCCTCCCAAATGTTCTTTTCAAAACCCATCCTTTGGCAAATTTAAAATTTAATTAATTAGTTAGTTAATTTGGATTTTCAAGACACAGTTTCTCTGTGTAGTCCTGGCTGTCCTGGAACTTACTCTGTAGACCAGGCTGGATTCACACTGAGAGATCTACCTGCCTCTGCCTCCTGAGTGCTGGGATTAAAGGTGTGTGCCACTATTGCCTGGATTAGTCTTAGGCAATTTTATACATGTATATATTGATCAGCTCCTCTACCCCTACCTACCGCCTATCACTATCCCTGGACACTCTTTTTTTTTTTTTTTTTTTTTTTTTTTGGTTTTTCGAGGCAGAGTTTTTCTGTATTGCTTTGGAGGCTGTCCTGGAACTCGCTCAGTAGACCAGGCTGGCCTCGAACTCACAGAGATCCGCCTGCCTCTGCCTCCCGAGTGCTGGGATTAAAGGCGTGCGCCACCAACACCTGACTGGGAAGCATGCTTGTTTCTAATTTAAATATATAATTTTAAAAAGTGTTTCCAAAAAAGAAAGAAAGAAAAGACAAACCAGATTTGTACAGACTACACCCTGACCTCCACTTGTATGCAAATGTGTGCTCCCCCCCCACAAATGAACAACCAAATAAATGTATAAAATACATTGTGAAAGCGAGGGAACCTGAATATCTACAGGACTCCACCTGATGTAAGAGAAGATGAACCCAGTGTGCTCTATTCACTATTCTATTATTTTATGGTGATGAAATCTTATGGAGCTTTAAAAAGAAATTCAAAAGTTTTTGAGTGTTACGGTAAGATGCATGCTGTGAAATTTTCTTCTTCTTTGTCATTTTTTTGCATGCAAATTCAGCAGTATCGAGTATACTGTGTAACTCACCTTCAAAATATCTTTCTCGAAAAAAAACAAAACAAGGCAAAAAAACCAAAATCTTTCAGCTTATAAAATGGAAATCCTGCCCTGCTGAAACTTGACTCCATTCTTCTCCCTCTCCCTTCCCTGACAACTCCCATTCCACCCAGGTCTTTGTGCTTATCTGCCCTTCTAGACACCTCGAGTAGAGCGCGTGATAGCAGAGTTGGGTCCCCTTCATTTTGAGCTGAGAAAGTGTGAATGGACCATGTAGCGTTTACCCCAGAGATGGACATTGAGCAAGACCCTGCTGTGTGTATGGACCAGGTGTTTATCTGAGGGATGGACATTGAGCAAGACCCTGCTGTGTGTATGGACCAGGTGTTTATCTGAGGGATGGGCTTTGGGTGTCTACTGTATGAACGCAGCTGTGGAAAACTGGATTTTATTTTTCTACTTTCGCATTTTTATTCAGATCTGCATTGTGCCTTGAGTTCCTCCCTCCATTCCTGCCCATCTACCTCTTCTATTCCTTCAGGCAGCTTCACATCTGCTTTTATCTTAGGTATACATGCATGATTTTATATGACCACACAAACGCCAAGACACACAAATGAGAGAAAACGCGTAAGATTTGTCTTTTGGAGACTGGTTTAGTCCTCTTCATACAATGGTCTCCAGCTTCTACCATTTTCCAGAAAATGACAAAGCTTTGTGTCTTTGCGGCTGAGAAAATGTACTTGCATTTGCTTTATCCAGCTCTTTCCTCAAGGTCTGGCAGGCTGGTTTCTTAGCTGCTATGAACAGTGTTCTTCAAGGATGTGCACGCGTCTGTGTGTTGTGTTGACTCGGAGGCCTCTGGGTGAGGGAACACAGAGGAAAGCTTGAGCTGGGTTGCCTTTAACTGGAGGTCTTGGAGCCCTGAGGCCAACACTGCCATGGCCTGACACGCATCAGTCATGCTCACACGCCATAAGAACCAGACCTCCATAACCAACAGAGAAGCGTGGAGGGGAGGGGGTCAGGGCTCTGACCTTGGATGATAAGGTGGAGAGAGGCCCCTGGGAGGAAGTGAGGGGAAGGAGAGGGATCATCGGCTGCCCTCGGGATTGTGCCATCTGGTGGCTGGAGTCCCGGTCATGACTTCTTGTGAGGCCTATGAGAATGTTAAGAAACTTTGAAGAGCAGACACCATGGCTCAGCACTGAGCAGTGCTCCTGGAATCCAGCTGCAGAGAGGGAGAAGGGGTGAGCAAAGGGGTCAAGGTCTTGCTGGGGAAACCCACAGAAACAGCTGACCTGACCAAGTGAGAGCACACGGACCCCAGTGCGACAGCTGGGGAATCAGCACTGGACCAAATGTGGGTTTCAGTTAGGAGGCCTGGGCAGTCTATGGGGCCTCTGACAGTAGAACCAGTATTTATCCCTAGTGCACCAATGGACTTTGGGAGCCCATTCCCCAAGGAGGGATACTCTCTCAGGCCAGATATATGGAGGAGGGCCTAGGCCCACCCCCAAATGATCAGACTTTGATGATCCCACATGGAAGGCCTCACTCCCTCTGGGGAGTGGATGGGGGATGGGATGGGGGCCATGGGGGGCATGGGAGGATGGGAAGGAGAGAGAACTGGGATTGGCATGTAAAATAAGATTGTTTCTAATATATACATATACATATATACATATACATATACATCATTCTAGACCGAAGAGATGTCTTAGCTGGTGAAGTTCTTGCCGTGGAAGCCAGAAGACCCAAGTTTAGATCCCAGACACCTACGTCGAGAGCCCTGTGTGTAATCCCAGGCTCTGGGGAGGCAGAGGCAGGCAGCTCCTTGGAGCCGGATGAAAACCAATGAGCTCCGATTTAGTGCACGGCCCTGTCTTTAAAAGTAAGGTGAAGAGTGAGGGAGCCACCAGATCTCGGCCTCTGCCCGCCACACACAGGTCCAAGCAAGCGAGCGAGTGTGCCCCGGAGGCACACGCGTGCACACTCACGAACACCTGCGCACAGTCTGTGCCCTCTCAGAACTTCCTCGCACTTTCTCTCCCACTCTTCGAAGCCCATAATAGCACCATGCTGCCTTATTAGGAGTGCGGCTGGGCCAGAGGAGCCGCTGAGAGCAGATTTGGACTCAAGGGAAGGTGTTTTCATTGTGCTCTATTATGAGCGCTTTTCAGAATGGCCTAACGAGGCCATCCCAGCAATAAATACATCACCTTCCCGGTGTTAATAAATGCTGTGGGCCGGCAAGATGGTTCAGCGGGTAAAGGGGCTTGCCACCAAGCCTGACGGCCTGAGTTCAATCCCCAGGGCAAACACGGTAGAGAAAATTGACCGCCACTGATTGCTTTTGCACACACTAAGAAGCATGCATGCACACATGAATGAATGAATGAATGAATGAATGAATGAAAGTGCTTTTCTCAGCAGGGTGTGATGGCGCTCGCCTTTAATCCCAGCACGTAGGAGGCAGAGGCAGGCAGATCTCTGTGAGTTTGAGGCCAGTCTGGTCTACAGAGCAAGACTGCATCTCAAATGCTGGATGCATGACTGGGAACATAGAATGTTCCAAAGAGTTCCAAGACATCAGCTATGCATAAGTCTGAATTTGTGAGTATGTCTGGTGGTCAAAACAGGCGTTATGTCAGGTCGTGCAGGAGGGCCCTGGTTATGGGCTTCTGAGGTGAGGATCATGAAGAAAAAAAAAAAAAGAAAGAAAATCCCCAGAGTGAAAGGAGATACCGTCGTGAAAACAAGTAAGAATCCGGTTTGTTTTCATTTCCTGGCGTCAGTACTTCTCCAGCTCAGCCCAAGGCGAGGTGAGGTTGGAGCTCCCTCATCCGAAGAGAGAGTCTAAAATCTAAAAAGACCAGTTGCGCCACACCAGGTTAATGGTAAAATCCAGTTTAACGTTTTTATGTGTTTGACATTTCACTTCAGTTCAGACGGCTCCAAAGCAACAGCCTCCATAGTCTCCCTTAGAGGAGCCAAGAAGAGGAAGGAAGTGTCGGGCGGAGTCAGGCAGCCCCCGGAGCAGCCACACCCTCACGGGAGCCATCCCACCCCTTCTATTAACTTTTTCTTATTGCATTTATTTGTTTATTTGTCTATGTGTGTGTGTGTGAGAGAGAGAGAGAGAGAGAGAGAGAGAGAGAGAGAGAGAGAGAGAGAGAGAGAGAGAGAGCCTGCACATGCCATGGTGTGCATGTGTTGGTCAGAGGACAATTGTAGTAGTTAGTTCTCTCCTTCTACCAGGTGGGGTCCCGGGGATTGAACTCAGGTCGTCAGGCTTGGTGGCAAGCCCCTTTACTGGCTGACCTGCTGAGCGCCCCCAGCGGCTCTCCCTTCCCCAGGTCTCTGAGCGGGTTTCTCTCCTTCTGCTTACAGTTCTGGGAGGTGATCGGAGAAGAACATGGGATCGACTGTGCTGGGATCGACAGTGGGGCCTCTGTGCTGCAATTGGAGAGGATCAACGTGTACTACAACGAAGCCTACGGTAGGGCTGGCTGCTGGGCTAGCAGCGGGCGGAGAGAAAGCAACCCCGGCGTGAAAGAGTAAAGTCCCAGCCTGGAACTGGCCACAGGCAAGGCTGCACAGAGTCTTGCACGGCGGGGTGTCCCCACTCCAGTGCAAGGGGCGGAACGGGATGCAATCACCATGCTAGCCAGCCATTCCCCGAGGGAAGGGTGAGAATCCATCTTCTTGGTGAGGCAATGAATCAAGCACACAGTAATGAGAGAAGTGAAGCTTTAACAGGGTATTTTTTTAAATGGATTTGTGTCATGGTAGTCTGGGTCAGGTGTGACCAGGTATAGACATTGAAATGTCCGCCTACCAAAGGCTACCTTCTAGAATGCTCCTGGTTTTTGGATCAGGGTCCCAAGGATCCGTTTTGAGGACACATCAACTTTTTAAAGAAGAGCAAGGAAATGTTGAAGCATGTCTATTAATCTCCACAGGTAAGAAGTATGTGCCCCGAGCTGTCCTTGTGGACCTGGAACCCGGGACAATGGACAGCATCCGCTCCAGCCGACTAGGAGCCCTCTTTCAACCTGACAGCTTTGTTCACGGTAGGGTTTTTGTTTGTTTGTTGTTTGTTTTGTTTTGTTTTTTCCAGAAGCTTCTACCAGGAACTGCTGAGGATGTCTTCTGGTGGTTCTCTGCTCACCCCTCCCCCCATTCCATTCTTCTCCTGGTCACAGGTAACTCGGGAGCTGGTAACAACTGGGCCAAGGGCCACTACACAGAGGGAGCCGAGCTGATCGAGAACGTCATGGATGCGGTGAGGAAGGAGAGCGAGGGCTGTGACTGTCTGCAGGGTTTCCAGATCGTGCACTCTCTGGGTGGGGGCACCGGCTCAGGCATGGGCACCCTGCTCATGAACAAGATCAGAGAGGAATACCCAGACCGGATCCTGAATTCCTTTAGCGTCATGCCGTCCCCCAAGGTGTCAGACACGGTGGTGGAGCCCTACAACGCCGTGCTGTCCATTCACCAGCTGATGGAGAACGCGGACGCGTGCTTCTGCATCGACAACGAGGCGCTCTACGACATCTGCTTCCGCACCCTGCGGCTCACCACGCCCACCTACGGGGACCTCAACCACCTGGTGTCCCTGACCATGAGTGGCATCACCACCTCGCTGCGCTTTCCCGGCCAGCTCAACGCGGACCTGCGCAAGCTGGCGGTGAACATGGTGCCCTTCCCCCGCCTCCACTTCTTCATGCCTGGCTTCGCTCCGCTCACGGCCCAGGGGAGCCAGCAGTACCGAGCCCTCTCGGTGGCCGAGCTCACCCAGCAGATGTTCGATGCCCGCAACATCATGGCTGCCTGCGACCCTCGCCGTGGCCGCTACCTGACCGTGGCCTGCATCTTCCGGGGTAAGATGTCCACCAGGGAAGTCGACCAGCAGCTGCTCTCTGTGCAGACAAGAAGCAGCAGCTGCTTCGTGGAGTGGATCCCCAACAACGTCAAGGTGGCCGTGTGTGACATCCCACCCCGGGGCCTGAACATGGCGGCCACCTTCCTGGGTAACAGCACAGCCATCCAAGAGCTCTTCACCAGGGTCTCGGAGCAGTTCTCAGCCATGTTCAGGAGGAGGGCCTTCGTGCACTGGTACACCGGCGAAGGCATGGACATCAGTGAATTCGGGGAAGCCGAGAGTGACATCCATGACCTGGTGTCTGAGTACCAACTGTATCAAGATGTCAGAGCAGGCCTGGACGGCAGCGAAGAGGGCAGGGAGGAGGGGGAGGACATGGAGGCAGAGGACATGGAGGCAGAGGATACAGGGCATTAGCCAGGAGAGAAGCTATAGGGCAGCCTATTTCAGAAATTTCTCCAAAGGTTTATGGCTGTCCTGAAGCTCTGGGAGCCTGCCCTCACCTTGGCCCAGTGGTGGCAGTGGCTGGAGGTTATTAGCTAGGGCTCGACAGCCAATGGATGACTTTTCTTTAAAAAATTTTTTAATTTTTCTTCTTAAACAGCAAGTGAGTTTCCTGTAGTTTTACTAACTGTAGGTAGGCATCCAGTTGGAGTGTGTGAGTTTCCTGTACTTTTACTAACTGTAGGTAGGCATCCAGGTGGAGTGTGTGAGTTTCCTGTACTTTTACTAACTGTAGGTAGGCATCCAGGTGGAGTGTGTGAGTTTCCTGTGGTTTTACTAACTGTAGGTAGGCATCCAGGTGGAGTGTGTGAGTTTCCTGTGGTTTTACTAACTGTAGGTAGGCATCCAGGTGGAGTGTGTGAGTTTCCTGTACTTTTACTAACTGTAGGTAGGCATCCAGGTGGAGTGTGTGAGTTTCCTGTGGTTTTACTAACTGTAGGTAGGCATCCAGGTGGAGTGTGAGTTTGCCAGGACCCCTTTGCAGCTGCTGGTCCCTCTTCAGCCCTTTAGCAGCAAGGGTGGGTACCGGGTAGCTAGGGCGGCTAAGATGCCTCACCGAGTCCCCTCTTTAACAAAGCCAGGTGTCCGAAGGGTGTGTGGGAGGCCCAGGGCCAAGGCAGGTGTGAGTGCGTCTCCATGACTGCACTGGGTAGACCTTATGCACTGTTTGACAGGCTGACTGGAAAAAGACAAAGGGAAGCATGAAAAGCCATGTCTCTCCTCTCGGCTCCCACCATCCAAAGGAGTAGCAAAAGCCAAGCATTCCAGTCCTCGAAGCTTTGTTTCCCAGTAACTGGCTTCCAACACGTTTCTCTGGGTTTTAAGCTTCTTATTAGCACTAGTCGCCAGTAGTTCACTAATGAGTGTCCTTGGCTTTCCTCTTAAAGGCTGTTTGCAGATGCCCTTTTCATTCTCCCTCAGCGATCACCCCTGAAGCTCCCTTCCAGCCTCCTCATTCTCTGGGAAAGGGCATGGCATGCTCAGCAACCATTTGAATGCAGGAACGTAGCCGCAATGCCGCAGTGTCCTCCTTGGTGACAGAGGACATGGTCTCATTAGGGAACTTTTAGCTTAGATTAATTTGCAGAGGCTGCCATGGACGTTTGCAGGCTGACACAGCTTTAACCATTGCACTGCTGTAGTCTTACATCCCAACAGGACTGAACAGGCAGGAGACAAATCATCCATCCAAAAGCCTCCTAGGTCTGAGGTGCTCGGGGGTCTTAATGGCCCTGCTGGAATCATTGAGGGGCTCTGTGACCTCTCCAAAGGGAGTTATCTGCATGAAACCAGCTTCTAGTGTCTTGTTTTGTCCCCGTGGTGCTAGGGATGGAACCCAGGGCCTTGGGGGTACACTAGGCAAGTGCTTTGTCACCAGCTACTCCCTCAGGCCTTTTTACAATCAATAATGAAGTGGCAGGTGGATGGCATTCTCTCCATATATGCACTGTGAGGAAATAATTACAACTCATAGCGAGAGAAAATCAGGCCCCATTTTTGGTATGGACTGCCCAGGCTCCTGTGTATATAATCAAAAAGCACAAAGTATTTTAAGTACTTTCCACTTTTGTATGGACTGAGAGGCAGTAGCTCTCTACTCTTAGATACTAACAAAGCTGCATGCTTACCTGGGTACCTTCATTCTGAACCTCAAGATGCAAGAACACAGATGCAAGAAAGAGACTTAAATTCTAAAATTTTTCACTGAACACTTGTTTATCAGTAATCACTAAAGTGCAAATAAAGTCCATTTTAAATGACTAAGCCCTTGTATCTCTTCACTCAGCAAACTCCTTTTCTTGGAGTCTGACCGTTCAGACTGATGTGTCTCACCTAGTAACTGTTCTAATGGCACAAGTGGACTAAACCACCGCTGACTAAAGCCCAGGGACACCTGGTCCCTTCAGTGCTATGGTTGCCATGGATACACTGGTAGAGCTGAAATCAGCAGAGCCCTAAGATTTCAGAGATCCCTTTACTCTGTCTCTGACACCAATGGTTGGTTAACAGGTCAGTAGTATCTGGCCAAGGACCCGACCACCTGACAAGTTGTTCTGTGTCACCCTGAGGTGCTGACCTGAGTTTACCTCATCCCAGTGTTGACTGGTGGACTGTCAGTTCTCAGGGTCATCTTTGGAGGACTGCCAATTCTTATTCGGTAACTTTCACCCAGTGGTTCCGCTAAGTGATTTCCAAAGCTGGGAATCCTTTAGCCTTGTGTTTGTCAGCTAGCCTAGCTGTCCTACGACTTGTGAGCCGGCTGTTTCCGCTCCTGGTAACGGGAGATGCTTCTTGGGACATCAGTCTTGGAGATGGTGGTTTGGAGCTCAACTTCCTAACAACAGGACTTCAAGCCCAGGCAGATTTCAGCGATGCTAACCTTTCAGGGCTGCTACTGTCCCATTCAATCTGCTGTCACCCCTTGAGCACCCTGTGCTGAGAAATCTAATAAAACCCATAGGTGAAGTGTTCTGAGGGCACAAAGCAGGCCCCAGGAGAGCAAAGATGCTTTGTCTTCAGCCTCCTGTGAGCTGAAGCATGGATCTAGTTGCTTCTCTGCTCTGCAAAAAATTACAACGAGCAGTGGCTCTACTCAGCCAAGAGTGTCCACATTATAAAGAAAGCCAAAATCAAAACACTTTGTTCCTAAACATGTAAGTAACAAATGAATGTCCATTCACAAATATCATCAGATTGTCCTATTCACTGCGCCCAGACTGGTCGTTAAGAATCACAGGTTTTAATTGCATCAACACGACACAAGGTATTGACAGGCTCTGCCTCATTTCCAGTGAGAAATGCACCCAGAAAATAATAAAAGGTGAAAAGCATTTTGTCTAGATAAAGTCTAATGTTAATGGCTCCTCTCTACAGTTTTGTGGGAAACAAGATGAGTTATACAATTTGTTCCTCTAATGTGTGTTCTAATTGTTTTCATTTGGGTTAAGGACTAATCGGAACCACCTGGAGCCACAGCTTTAATGTGAATTCAATTCAAGCTAGAGACAACACAACCTCCGTGACACTGTCAAATTTTCCTCAATTATGCCACAACAAACAGAACACTTACTTTGATACATTTAAGCAGTGGTTCCTCCCAGTGGCCCCACTGGTCATCAGATACTAAGTCCTTCCAGCCTTTTGAGAAATCCTGGTTCATATGGTCACTCACATTACTACTGAAAAAAAAAAGTACAAGACAAACGAAACCCAGTAGAGAGTGAAGCACGTCAATTTATTGGCATAGTCAAATTATCAGCAACACAGGTGGTCTTAAGCCCAGGAGGCGAGGTTGGCTTCCATCTGCCATAGCGTAATAGGGACCCACACCGTCACCGTGAAGGCTCAGCAGTTCGTGCTTCAGTCAGGGTCTAGGAGAAAGAAAACAAAGCAGCTGCTAGTCTGCTGTCTTCTTCACACCCGCCATGAACGAGGGAGCCCACGCGCGTGCGCCAGCAACCGAATGAGCCTGGGCTGCCTGTGAGCGCACAGCCTGCAACAGGCACACCCTCGAGTAAATCACTTCTACTGGGACAGGGACAGCTCTGTCCTTCAGTCCTCTGCCCCCATGCCACAGACTGGGGTCCTCCCTGTTCCAAGACATTAGATAGGGCCATACTTAGTTTGCAGGAGCCGGACATGCCTCGCTGACTCCCGGGCTCTGACAAAATCAGAGGAGTGAGTCGCAGACATGCAGTGTGAGGAGATGCTCTCACTCAGCTCACTGTGGACAACCAACATACACAGGTTTCATATGCCCAAATGCTGAGATTAGAAAGACCCAAGAAAAGGGGTTCAGTTCAAACACTGCATTCCCTGGTCTGTAAAAAAGTATTTGCTACTTCAAGATGAAAATGGAAAGTGCTTAGCGGAGAGAGTCTCTATGAGGCAAACTGCTCATAGCCCAGGCCTTGGAGTATGAACATCATGGGCCTTGCTGCTGCGGGGCTGGCGCGTTGCAAAAACAAAAGCAGGTGAAACAAGAAGAGCATCTCCCTGATAACGCGCCTTGCTTATCTCTGAAATAACAGTGTAGGTAAAGCGGCTGGGAGATCCAATCCGTCTGGAGAACAGTCTGAACTCATCCTGCACAACTGCCTCGTCACGGCCCAAGACTGCAACTTTGCATTCCCAACAGGGCCCACCCAGGGCTAGCAGTCCTCGCCTGCAGGTGTGCCCGCATGTCCAGGAAGAAGCTATGTGTGAGGGCACCAGCAGCCACGGGGGAAGGAACACACACGGAACTGCCGTTTCTCATGCCCAAGGCCTGTTACATAACTCCAACAGCAATTACAAAAGGCGAGCTTCTCCCCCAGTTATTTGACTTTTGCAGACAGATGAACCAGGTTTAATTAAAATAAGATGGCTTTCCATCTGAGGACTGCTAACTGCACTGAAAATCAATGTGCCAATTATTCTGCTTGTCAAGGCTGCACAGGACAGTCTTTCATCATGCCAGGAGATGTCTAAGACCTGGACACTAAATCATCGCCGTGCTAACCAGGGTCCACAGCCGAGAGGCCGAGTGTCAGACTAAAGTGAGTTTGGAAAGCTCTAAAAACTTGAGAAGGTGACTCCTAACCACCCAGCGACGTACCGACTACTCCTTCTTCACCTTCACGATCTTCACGCTGCTGCCTGAAGTTTTCTCGGCGTTCGCCTTGAACTCGGTCTTCAGGGCGTCCCGCACTGCTTTTGCACAGATCTGGGAGAACCGGATGTAGCTGGCAGAGTGAGAGAGGACACAAGGCCGGTTACCAACAGCTACACGGCAGTGTCACTGTGCGCGGCATTTCGGTTTTCTTTCCTTACTCTTAGTTTCAGTTACTCGCTACAGCAAAATTGGATTGAAACCTGGACAATGCCAAAACTAATCTACACAAAGGGGACAACCAGAAATGTGTCCCCAGATTAGCTGGTGTTTGACTGAGAGTTTTGTTCTCGACAGTGTATCTTTTCAGATTAATTTAAAATGAAGGATTTTTTTTTAAATCCCAGTGTAGGAAACAGAGCAAAAATGTGAACACCGCTCCCACGTTTGATTCCACAGCTCATTTCTGTATTTGTCTCAATCACTCCACTATTCTTACAGCATATACATACACATGTGTGTGTGTGTCTAAACATACATGAAACTTTTGAATTAAAAGAGTGCTTGTTACGGTCAGTTATCTAAAGGCGTCCCTGAAAACATTAGATTTCTGCCCTTTGTCACTGAAAACGCCTCCTAATCATGGGTTCCAAACTGCACTAAAAGTTCCCGGAGAAGGTCAAGTGCAGGCAAGAGGGGGGACACAAGGCAGCTTCCTGTCTGCCAGACACTTGGTCTGTCAACACCTTGTCCCAAGAGATGTCACCTTTTCACACTTTCTGAAACCTGTTTCTCCCCTGCTTTGTGTAGGGGGCTCGGGGGCAAAGGGTTGACTATGGAGGCCATGGGGGTGTGGGGAGCAGGAGAGCGGGGTGTGAGGGTCTATGAGGTCCCTGGGGGCAGAAGAGCAGGGTGTGAGGGTCTATGGGGCCCTGGGGGGCAGGATAGCGGGGTGTGAGGGTCCATGGGGGCCCTGGGGGTCAGGAGAGCGGGGTGTGAGGGTCCATGGGGGCAGGAGAGCGGGGTGTGAGGGTCCATGGGGGCAGGAGAGCGGGGTGTGAGGGTCCATGGGGGCCCTGGGGGCAGAAGAGCAGGGTGTGAGGGTCTATGGGGCCCTGGGGGGCAGGATAGCAGGGTGTGAGGGTCTATGGGGTCCCTGGGGGGCAGGAGAGCGGGGTGTGAGGGTCTATGGGGCCCTGGGGGCAGGATATCGGGGTGTGAGGGTCCATGGGGGCCCTGGGGGCAGGAGAGCGGGGTGTGAGGGTCTATGGGGCCCTGGGGGGCAGGATAGCGGGGTGTGAGGGTCCATGGGGGGCAGGAGAGCGGGGTGTGAGGGTCCATGGGGGCCCTGGGGGCAGAAGAGCAGGGTGTGAGGGTCTATGGGGCCCTGGGGGGCAGGAGAGCGGGGTATGAGGGTCTATGGGGGCCCTGGGGGGCAGGAGAGCGGGGTGTGAGGGTCCATGGGGGCCGAAGAGCAGGGTGTGAGGGTCCATGGGGGCCCTGGGGAGCAGGAGAGCGGGGTGTGAGGGTCTATGGGGGCCCTGGGGGTCAGGAGAGCGGGGTGCGGGTCTTTGGAGGCCACGGGGGCCGTGGGAGCTGCCTGCACCTTCCTCTGCTTGCGACCCGTGACCCATGACCCCGCGGCGCGCCTTGACCACGGCGACGCCATCTTGCTTGGCGGGAGGCCGTCCCACGCGGGCCTGCCGAGGGCGGGCGGGCCGCCGGCCTCCCCGACGCCGCCCGGGCATACCTGAGTCCGGCCTGCCGCCAGTACGCCACCATGGTGTCGCGAGAGGGGGAGGGTCGCGCAGAACCGCTGGGTCGCTTCGGAGTCGCCTCAGCAGGCACCGGTTGCAGGAAGGTCAGGCCGACAGAGTAGCGGAAGGGGTGGGGCGCGCGGACCTGCCAGTCACTGCCGGGAGCCAATCGGGGCGCCGGTCGCGTGCGCCCGCCCGCCGGCCGAGCGGCTTCCGGGAACCGCGGGCGCATGGACGCCTGGGAAAGTGAGGCCGCAGCGTCCCGGTCACCTTCCCAGGTGCAGAGGCAGAGGGCGGGGCCTCCTGGAACTGACAGTCAAGACAGCCAATCCGCAGGCAGGGATCCGGAGCCCTCCCCAACACTGCTGGCCATGCAGTTATGTGGACACAGCCACTTAGGACAACCTCATTGCAGACTGAAGAGTTGTGTCATCGCTAACTAGGGCTTAGACAGAGAAGTCTCTGGGGCATCAGACCGTTTCCAGGGCACGTGTGAGTCACAGGAACCACACAAGGCACTGTCCAGCACGAACACTTAGTAGTGTTCTACTTAGTTGGACTGTTAAAATTCTACTTGTCAAAAAAGTAGCTTCGTTTAAAAGTTGCCATTACATTTAATATGCTTTTACAAATGTCCAAAGGATTCTTTTTTTTTTTTTTTGGTTTTTCGAGACAGGGTTTCTCCGTATTGTTTTGGAGGTTGTCCTGGAACTCACTCAGTAGACCAGGTTGGCCTCAAACTCAGAGATCAGCCTGCCTCTGCCTCCCGAGTGCTGGGATTAAAGGCGTGCGCCACCAACGCCCGGCTTGTCCAAAGGATTCTTAAGCCACCTTTTAAAGTATGAAGCTGGAATTTAACACCATTTAAAAGTCTCTGTGGTTCTGTGTGCCTGTTAACTGGTCTCTCTATCCCATAAATGGCAAAAGCCAACCACGCCGTACATAACCATCAATGCAGACACCATTAGCGACCAACAATACAATGTGTGGCTCCCTTGTAGCCATTCTCCCGCACCCCAAACCAACTTAGTCTTCTAGGTGTTCCCTCCCACCCCTTCCGTTCTTCCCACCCAACACCCCGTGTTAAGACGGAAGCACCAGGGTCTAGGTGACATCTGAATCCCCTCAAATGATAGACAGCTCTTCAAGTAAAATATGTTTTGTGGTCATAATTACCTCTAAGTGTAATTATATTCAAATACCTTGACTTATCATGCCTTAGCAATTATAAAGCCATGATTTTGACATGTGGCAATTTGTAAGTTAAGTAAGTGTGAAATGCTAAGAGATGAACAGCCGCTCTTCTGTCTCAGCGTTGTTTAAGAGTGATACGACACTCAGGTAATGACTTTATTGTTTTTTCAGTTAACATAACCAGCCCACAGTACAGCATGCGAAATCACAAAGTACAAATTCAAGGAAGGGAATGCCTTTACTAAGCCACAAAACTTTGGCAAATTAATACAGTACCCGTTAATACAATAAAATACTATTTTTCGCTGGAGTCATATCACTTAGCGCTAATTTGCACTCCAAAAATATCATTTAAGTACCAAATTCAAACACTGGTTCTCAAGAGGGCGAGTTATTTCATACAAATTAATGGCATTTGGAATTATGCAGCCTCTCTTTTTAAAGGGAGTCCCTCAGGCAGATGTTTGGCGGCAACTGTGTGGGCTCGGGGCGGCAGCCTCTGTTCTGGTTGGTCCACAGCCAGACAGTGTTCCAGTTCCTGACAGGCTCTGAGATTCTACCTAAGGAGACTTGAGATCAACATCAATTTCTTCTAAGTACTTAAACAACAACAAACAAACCCGTGAATTGTTCACGAACACAAGACTCTCCAGTCAGCTAGCTCCCTCAAGCCCTTCAGCCTCAGACGATCACTTTGATTTAGAAACTCCCCATCTTTTTCTTTGATCAAAAGTCACAGCCTTACCCCAGTCCATTAAAAAAAATAATAAACTCTACCTAAAATAGCCGTATCTTTTAAATAACAAATAAATATGATGTCAGCTTGGAGAGTCCTGGGGTCCCGGTAGCTGCACACCAATCTCCATTGTCATTTTTCCACCAAAGCCGCTGCGGCCGCCATTGGTGTCCGTATGCTTCCTCGTGCTGATGCTGCCAATTCTTCTATCTCGGCGTTCAGTTTATGGATCACCCATTCCATTGCTTCTCGACCCTTAGAAAGTGCAATTAAGTTTACTGTTACTGAGAGCAGGGCGTGTATAAGGGAAACAGCAGCCAGAGTGAGAAGGGTACAGGCTAACTACCCTCGGGGCAGAGCATGTCCTTGGTTCCTTTTTCTTCTCAGTTATTTCTTACCAAATACCAAATGCCTTGAGGGATTGGCTTGATCCAGAAGCCAATTTTTACTTTGTATGCAGAAAATGTTCAAGAATGTACAGCTGAGTGGCAGGTGTCTCACTGACTGTGTGACTAGAGTGGTGAAGGCCGTCTTTCTGTATCAGCATGGTAAATCAACAGTGCACACACCCAGGATCTGGTCCTTGACCCCGCCCCCTTCCTTCTACACTCTGAGGAATGAAGGGGGCCACTTCATGCTTCCTGTCTAAGGGCCTTCGCACGTGCTCCCCCATGTTCTTCCTGAACTCTGGCATGCACCCCCCCCCATGTTCTTTCTGGACCAACTCCTTCCCTCTCAGCACTCGGCAAAAAAACCAGTAACCAAACATTCACTAAACACTCACGCCTGCCTGTACCTTTCCTTTCCCAGGGGAGTGCTGTGTGATTAATGCTGCCTTTCCGAGGCCTACAAGGGCAAAGCACATTTGTCTTGCTGCCTGCATTATCTTGAGAATGCCTTGACGGAATGACTTGACGAAACGTGTTAAAGAAACAACGTGTTAGGTACCTAACTTACTGGTTTAACACGGGGTGACTCCAAAGGAGTGACAAGACACACATGTGGCACATTCATCAAGTAGTTTCATAACGGAAACAGAAGGAACAATGTCTGAAACTGATGGGCATGACGAGACACTGCCGAGAAGCAGAACTTTTAGCAGACACGGGTTGTTTATCATCCAAGCACGTCTACAATGTTCCCTGAGCTGCGAGCCATGCTGACGTGTGAACAGGTGTGCTGGGCACCAGAGCCCACCCAAATCACTGCCTACTGTTCTGCCTGTCCCTACAGAGTGGCCCAGGCAGCTTCAGAGAAGCTACATTCAGGCAGTGAATACAGGGCGGTGAGCGCTGAGGAGATGGCGCCCGCCCACTTACTTTGTTAGCATTGGAAGATATGGTATTTGCCATGAGTCCTTCAAGGTAGCTGCTGAGGCTGACCCCTCTCACGGTGATGACGGCTTCCTGGGTCAGGACAGTTCTGGCAAAACAACCCACAGCGTTAGATGACACATTTCATCTGCAAAGAGCAACCACCAAGAAACAAGGTGCCTCACCGAGTCAGGCCGCCATCCCACTTTACTTACTTCTCTGGGTCCTGGGGGTGCGGCTTGTATGTGAGCCTCTCGTCCACTGAGACCATGTTTGTAAATGAGATCTACAGGGTGAGAACAAGTCAGGCCACTTTGGAAACCAACATTAGAAAAGATGTCTAAAATCAACACACAGCCCCAAATCTTATTTGCTAAACACACAAAACAAAAAACTTAAACCATCTTGGCATTACTGGGTAACTATAATCTAAATTTATACTTAAATTTCACCAAATTTTCATTTGGGCAAGGAGGTGACTCCACAGGTAAGGAGAGATGTTTCCTCTAAGCCCAACAACCTGACCTTTAGCCCCTCGTAGGAGAGTCAATTCCCATGGCAAGCTGTCCTAATCCCCTTCACATGGTTTCCTGAGTACTCCCCTTTATACTCTAAGTGTGAAAAAAAGAAAATGATTTAGGAAATTCAGGGTTAGGAGTATGTAGCACCCTCCCTCCTTTGTTATTATTTATTTATTTTAACTTTGTGATGCTGGGGGATTGGACTTCAGGCCACAACATTGCTAGGCAAGTGCTCTATCATACCCTAGCCTTCAAAATAAACAAACTGGGAGGTGATGGCACCCACCACCTTTAATCCCAGCACTCAGGAGGCAGAGGCAGGCGGATCTCTCTGAGTTCAAGGCCAGCCTGGTCTACAGAGTGAGTTCCAGAACAGCCAGAGATACACAGAGAAACCCTGTCTCAAAAAAACAAACACAGCACAACTATGTATGTATAAAATAAGGGAGCCTCTCCCTATGTTGCCCCAAACAGCCTTGAGTGCAATCTGTCTATGGTGGCTTTGAATTTGTGATTCTCCTGCCCAGCCTTCGAAGCAGTTGGGTTACAGGTGTACAGTACCCTGCCTAGCCAGGTGCTGCCTTTTGATAGCATACACACATTTCATATTCCATTTGTAAGAAAGACATCTTCCGTCAAAGAGTGAAGCAAGGACTCACGTTGGTGGACTTGAGCTCCATTGTCTTCTTTACCGGGTCAACCACAGAATGCTCCTGCACATACGTTTTCGTTCTCGCCGCACCAATAAGCTACAGGCAACACTACAGTTAGTAACCAGAGAGCTCCCATTAACTAGGGCCATCTTTCTCTTGAAGGCACAAATGTGTTAATTACGTTGAACCAAAACCTATTGGCGGTAATGGATTTGCACCCAGAGGGAACCAAGGCTGCCACAGGCCTAGCATAAGACCCTTCCCCAGAGGCGATCGGCAACCAGCTTGATAACAATGGGATGTATGTGACGCTGGGCAGGGAAGGAGACATCTGGAAGTCAGAAGACCCCAGGATGCACCGTGTCTCTGGTAGAGTTCAGGTGCACAGACTGGCCAGTGTCTCAAGCAGCCCAGGGAGAAGTCCCGTTCCCCCATGGCTAAGCTATGAAAGCAGGCTTCACAGCTGAGGGGGACACCCACAACGAGTACCCCTCCACGGGCACGTCCCAAGCCCACCCACCTCTGCTGTGGTGGAAGGCAGGCTCCCTCCTGCTCTGAAGAGAGACCCCATACAGAAGCCCGGGTCAAAGCGCCGCTGGCTCTATCACAGCAATTGGTGCTCTGGTGTCTACCAGCTCACTGAAGCCTGGTGGTTTGTCACAGAAACGGAACCACTTCCAAATGTAGAGAAAGTACCAGACCCTGGCCTAAATGCAGGGCAGCGAGCCAAACACAACTCTTGTCACTTAATGCGCACAACCGGCAAGAGCTTAACGTCACCTGGTAGCTAGGACCTGACCATTGTAGATTCCATCATAGGCCTCAGGCTGGAGCAACAGCAGGAAGAGACGGAACCCCTCTACCAAGCCAGCTTCCGACAGCCGTGGACCTTTGGGAGGACTGAACACTCCTAACTTCCCCAGGCAGGGCATACTCACAGACTTCACAATGGAGGGCAGGCCCCACTCTGTGCTGAGGAGCCTGTGGCTGTGCAGCTTTCCAGAGGGATCCACATGTCTGTCCAACACATCAACGCCCACCACGCTGGGGTTCATGGGGTTGGGGTATTTCTGCATTGCAGCTGTGGTAACCATTTCCCATGGGTGGCTGCAGACAAACCAAAAACCAAACACGCAAAATGGCGGATGCGGGAAGCCATTCTTCCAGCACAGCAGGTTATGCTTTAGGATACAGGGTGATGACCTTTGGAGACGCTGAGTGCTGAGGGTTCTAACTGTGTGCAGACCTGAGTTCCAGCACACAGCCTGCACGCACAGCACCGCCTATGAAGCACCCTTACGGCAGCACGCCTCTCCCGGCAGTCCTGCTCAATCTTCCTACCTACCCTATCCACAGGTAAGAGCAATCAACAGCCCACAAGCCGTACTCAAAGATCACGTGCATAGAAACAGTGGGGAGGTGGCAGCACACCATTCACTCTTGGGTCTGACACAGTCCTACAGCTACAAGAACCCCAGGCGCTGTGGTAAGAATTAGGAACGATCACACTATCGACTTATGATTTAAGCATTTTCTGCTTTGTTTTATTCTTTTCTTTTCGAGATGGGATTTCTTCGTGTAGCCCTGACCTGAAACTTGCTCTGTAGACCAGGCTGACCTAGGACTCAGAGATCGCCTGCCTCTGCCTCCTGAGTGCTGGGATTAAAGGCGTGCGCCACCATGGCCAGGCTGACTAAGCATTTTATCACTATAAGTAACACGTGCCCTTGTTATTACCGGCTGCTTTCCTCCACCTCTGGCTTCAGCTCTGAAAAGGTCACACACTAGGAAATGCCAAGGCCCTACTGACTTAGCATGAGCACCTGCCATCACTCTAGAGGCTGACAACTTCAGTTTCCTTACTTTCTTGAAAAAGGTCACACACCTACTCAAAATGTGCCACACCGGCACCTGCCTTCTGGGAACAACAGGCACTCAATTCTCAGGGAGCCCTGACTGACCAGTCGGCATCAACGCTGGTTGGTCCATCTGCAGTCTGAGCCCAGCCCTTTCTATCCTATTTATCTGTGTGTCCTTGTGTTCTGGAGATGGATTTCAAGCTAGGCCCACGGACACAAACCACAGTGCTCTTGGTTATCTAAAAGCAAAGTAGGTGGGCACTGCTGCATTTCAACTTTCTGGAGAACCCAGACTGACAACTATACCTTGCCAACAGAAGAAAACCCTCAACCCCATTAGTTTTCCAGAACCATAGACAACCAGTGACATGGTTTTTAATGTTTTCATTTTATTCAAAAACATATAACTGAGCCTTAACTTCTACTTAATCTCAAGCCCTATTCCACAGTCAATGCAGGTATATAAGTAGAAGCTTCGTAAGTCTAAGCTGCCCCCAACGGCAGTGATTTGGCCCAGCCCTCTGACTGTCAGAGGCAACTACCTAAAATGAGAATCAGATGAAGCCCTCTTAGGTCTATCATCCAGCCAGGAAGCAAGGTGAGCTGCCTTCCACGCGCGCACGCGCGCGTACCTCCTTTCTGAAAGATTAGTAAATGGCCTGGGGCTGCTCTGCTCTATTGTGATTTGCCAACCTTGTGCTCTCCAAGCCAACATTAAATAGCACTGTTGACCTGGCCCAAACCTCACCAAGGGCACACACCATGATCACCAGTGTTCTGGCAATTAGTTTTAGCTTCATTAGCAAAACATGATTACATGAAAAAGACCCTGGCAGACATTCACAGAGCGCCAAAGTAGAGTTGAGACATCCTGGCCACAGCTGGATGACCTGTAAACGGTAACACTGTTAGCTGACGGAGGTGGCGACAGTTATTTTGGACTCTTACGAAAGCTGTGCGAGGACACTGGAAGACTAAACAACCCACTCCACACTGAGCGCTAATGATAAGTCATGTCTCAGAAGCGGCCCCCCAAATCCAAGATGTATGCATGAACAATGACTTGGGGTCCTGCTTGAGAGAGCAGTGTTCTCCAGATGGGATCAGGAAAATGGAAGCGAGACACAGGGACTGGAACCCAGGAGGCTCCGTTGTGAGCTCAATGTGCTCCCATCCTTGCCATTCTGGTTTTTGAGGCTACACCTTGCCAAACAGCCCTGCCCGCCCAGCACACTCTATGAATCTCTATGCTGAGGCTAGCCTCAGACTCACGGCAATTTTCCTGCCTCAGGCTCCAAAAAAAGTTAGGGTTAGAGGCATGCCGCACATCCTGCTTGAGACGCAGATCTGGGTGCCATATCGTGTGTGGATTGAGCCCTTGATTGGGTGGCTCAGCCTATTTGGAGAGAAAGCGGTATGGGGTTCCCTCCCAGGGCAGGAGCAGCATTTATCTGCAGATCTACCATCTGGGAGACAGGCCCCTGGAGCATTCATCCAGTCTTAAGAGGTCTGTGACCAAAAAGACTAAGACCATGGATAAAGAGTAAGACAGGAAGGCCAATGACCAAAATTCACTGAACACACACATTGGTAGGAATGGTGTGTGTGTGTGTGTGTGTGTGTGTGTGTGTGTGTGTGTGTGTTCTCCGCACAGGTCCACGGGCAGAATAGTGGAGAGAGGAAGGAGACAAGCTGACAGAACTTGGTGTCGCTAACTCTCAAATATGCAGATCCAGAAGAGGACTGGGGTGTAGAACCCCATCTTCTGAAATGGACTACCAAAGGCTGTGACCAGGTTAAAAAACACCCCAGGGACCACAGCCCCACAAGTGTTGGCTCCCTTCTAGTTCCTTATGGGGCACAGAAGACCCTCAGATACATCTGATTCACTATGTAAGTGTTCCCATCTGCCGGGTGGTGGTGGCCCACGCCTTTAGTCCCAGCACTCGGGAGGCAGAGGCAGGCAGATCTCTGTGAATTCGAGGACAGCCTGGTCTACAAGAGCTAGTTCCAGGACAGCTTCCAAAGCCAGAGACACCCTGTCTCGAAAAACAAAAACAAAAATCAATCAATCAATCAAACAAAAAATGTTCACAACTTCTTTTAAAATTGTTCCCAGAATCGGTGTTGGCACGCCTACATTAAAACACACCACATGCCGGGCGTTGGTGGCGCACGCCTTTAATCCCAGCACTCAGGAGGCAGAGGCAGGTGGATCTCTGTGAGTTCGAGGCCAGCCTGGTCTACAAGAGCTAGTTCCAGGACAGCCTCCAAAGCCACAGAGAAACCCTGTCTCGAAAAACCAAAATATATATATATATATATATATATATATAAAACACACCACAAAATTATACCACTGAAATAGCGTGGCAACAAAGGCAAAATGAGCCCGGATCATCCGGAAGCGAACTCTCACGATAAGTCAACAATAAGTACGACAAGGTGACACTTTGTACAACAGAGAACGACGGGACAGTCGACAAAGAACGCTGGGGTAGGGGTGCACCATCTATGTAGGCAGGAAGCCCTGTTTCCCACTGCAGGTCCAGAGAGCCATGAAGGTGCGACTAGATGCGACGGCAGAGACCGGCTGTCGCGGCTCACAGGAATGGGAAACCCAGGTCACAGATTGCCCAGGCTGACTGTCACCACGGTTTGGCACCAGGCTGGTGTACCTGCCCTGAGCTCACCAGGAAGAAACCCCACCCGGCTGGACGGCTGCCTGCTATGTCTGCGGGAGACCCACGAGATGGGGGGGAGGACCTCAGTTAGGACACCCCCCAGGCCACCGTGAGACCGTCGGGGAAACCCAGTGCTCGGTGACCCCTGGAGTCACTTCCGGGTCAGGCTCGACGGCAGGTTCCGGTCTCCCGGGGGCGGCGGGGGCCCGCGCCCGGGGTCACCGAGGCCCTAGTTCGGCTCGGGGTCGTGACCTTGGCGGTCCCCCTCTCCCGGGCTCAACCCCCCGCTCGTTCTGCCACACTCGACGCCGGGAAGCTCCCCCCTCCCCACCCCCGACGGCCACGGGGCCGGTAGCCGCGCCCACACTCACTCAAAGACGTGCTCCGAAGTCCAGATCTTCATGGTGCCAGCCGCCCGCCCGGTGTCCCGCGGCCGTCCCGGGACAACGAGGCACCCAAGTTCGCCGGCCCCGCCCCGTCCCGGCCGGCCGGCCTCGCAGCGCGCAGGCGCCGTCGGGCCCAGCGCGAGGACGCCCGGAAGTGCCCTCCCTCCCGGCTTAGCGGAGCCGGGCTAGGCCCCGCCCCCTCGGCGCGGCGCAGCCAGGCCCCGCCCCCTGGCGCTGGGCGCCTGGAAGGCCGGCCCGCGTGAGGGCTCAGTGCGCAGGCGCAGGGCGGGCGGGCGCCGTACCGCGCGTGCGCGGGGCGCCGGCGGCGGGAGGCTTTAGCGTCTGGCGGGGTTTCTGAAAGTTTCCAAGTCGCCTCTTTGGACGTGGTGGAGCCTCGCGGCGTTCGTCGCCAGAGCACGGCCGGCTTCGCCGACGTCGTCTCAGAGAGTCAGCCCCGCCTCTGGCCTCAGGCTGAGCGGTTGTGGGTGGCGGCAGTGGGCGCCGCGTGCCCATGCATCCTCCCTGCCAGCCCAGGGGTCGGGGACCCTCGGTGGGGTCAGGCTGCCCATCCGCCCAGCAGTGACCACCGCCCCGCCACGGGAGCAGTCGGGGCGTGGAGGCCTAAGACAGGGTGGGGCGGGAGCCACCGGCCGGGGCAGATTGCTCTGGGGGTCATAGGTCATCCCCACCCCCATACCTCAGTGATGCCCACGCCCTCCTGCGCCTCCATCACGACTTCCTGTTACATATACCACCCCACCCCACTCCCCGGCAATCATCACCCCTACATCGTCTCGTTTATCTGCTCAGCCCCCACCCAGAAGTCAGCCCCAGAACCGCCAGCTCTGGCCTGTCTCCGCGATGGCCCTGGGCACCAGAGGTTCAAAGGTGATTGAGAGAGAGAGAGAGAAAAAAAGCAAAACTGCAGCGACTATTTGAGGGGTGAATTAATTAAGTCATCCAGTTCATCTGCTTGACTTTCTAGTCTGCAGGCACCCGAGGGTGAGGCTCTTGCTAGGCTCGCTCAGTGATTTCCTCCCCTGTACCTACCTAACAATTAGGGATGACATGCGTGAGTGAGTGACTAAGAAGTGAGGGGGCAGGAGAGGGTGGCGTGGCGTGCGGTTCTATTCAGGGATGCTCCTGGTAAGGTGGACCAACTGCTTGGCTTGGGTCTGAGGCAGGGGCCTCCCACCCCTGCTCACCCCTCTTCCCCCATCCTGTGCCTCCCGACTGAACAATTTGCTGTTTGAGATGACAGTTGGAGGAGAAATCCCGGCACTTAGGGAGCTACTTAGAACCACTGTTTCATTTTTATCCCCAGTTTGTTCAGTTGTTAAAAACAAATGAAAGTCAGGTTCACTTAGGAGGGTGGATAATTCTTTTTTTCTTAATAGCCAAAGCCATTTATATTTTAGAAAAATTACATTAGATGGGAAGGAAATAATATGGTTGGTAGCTGTTAAGTGCAATTTGTGGTACCTGGGATTTATTATTTATTTATTTATTAATATTCAGTACTTTGAGTGGTCTCTTGGGGAGGTAAATGCTTTAAGGGCTGCTGAGAGAGGCTCAGCCTTGATTAAGATGTGGGAAGTTCTCCTCCCTGGCTGTTACCGGCTCTGGAGCCATCAGTACAGAACAGTATGTCCCTGATGCCCTGGAGCTTTGAGAAGCTGTACAACCAGCAACCCTATCCTTCCTTCCTTCTTCCTTCCTTCCCTCCCTCCCTCCCTCCCTCCCTCCCTCCCTCCCTCCCTCCCTCCCTCCCTCCCTTCTTCCTTCCTTCCTTCCCTCCCTCCCTTTCTTCCATCCTTCCTTTTTCAAAGAATGCTATTCTGCCCCGCAGTTAAGACTTTTATCAGTCCAATTCATACCAGAAAAAATGATTTCTTTTCCATTGTACTCATAAACACCACTGTACCAATCTACTGATTTTGCTTCCTATGCTGGAGTTATGGGGATGGAGTGGATGGAGGGCTGGGATCCAAGGGTCTTTTCTGTGTCTCCCTGTGGTAATAAAAAGGCTTTGAGTTTGGAGAGAAAGATCTTCTGTCACTACCTCCTGTAGACCCACTGAGAGGCTCTCCCTGAGGGAGCAAAGGAAGGTTTTGTGTGTTTGTTTATTTCTGGCCCCCAAAAACTGTATTATTGATGGTGCCTCTTACTGAAAGAGAAGTCATTATTAGTGGGTCATTAACTTGGCTCCTGGGATGACACCTGTCCCCACTCCCATTGCCCAGCCTGTGGCTGGAAGGATGCAGATATGATTCCCACCTGCTAGGACCTTCCCAACTGTAGTTTGGGGAGCCAGACTACAAGTCAAGAGAAAACTAGGTGTTTAGAGAGGAGATGCTGAAGTGTGATGGAGACCCTGGACTGTGAGCAGTCACCTCAGGTCTTCCCGAGATTGTGGGAGGGACAACTGAAGAGGAGTGGCTGTGGGTGTGGCACCAGACATTGGCTTGTGAAGATGCACTCACCATGCTGTTGATGGGTCTCAGGGACAAGCCCCGAGCTGCCTCCCGCTGAGCCTCAGCGCCTTTACTTTCTAAGTTTCACTCATTCGCCCTCCATTGTTTTTTTTACATTTTGCATCGTCCATATTCCATCTGATTCACTGCTACTGAATTGCTTTTTGTATCCGCGTGGTTACCTACAGTTTTGTTTTGCACAGTTTTTCACCCGTCCATAGTCTATGGTGGATATTAAGTGAAAGTTTCCTGAAGTAAATAAGAGATTAAATTGCGGCCCATCCTCAGTAGTGTGCTGGAGCCTGTGCCGGCTCACGCTTCCCCACCCTGGACATGTGCCGGATTGCTGTTCACTGGATCCACGCTGTACACACCGTTCATCAACACAAATCCTCCTCCTCCTCCTCCAGGGTGTCCATGCCGCACACACCACCCACTGACGTAAACCATTCCTCTCTAGTGAGTCCGTGACGTGTACACTGTTCAAAACTCCTCAAAGGAGGCAAGGCCCACAGGCTCCTGATGTCCTTCCAGAGGCCCTCCAAGTGTCACTCACTTTGGGATGCGCTGGCGCCCACCTTCACCTTTTCTTCTGACCCTTTGGTCAATGACCTTCACCTCTAATTTCCATGAAGTGTTGGACGTCCTTCCCTCCCCTTTAAAATGAATGTGTTATCTTTAATCCTATTCCTGTGTGTGTGTGTGTGTGTGTGTGGGTGTGTGTGTGTGTGTGAAGACAACTCTCAGGTCTTTCATTGACTTGGAACTTACTAATTAGGTTAGGCTGACTGGCAATCCTCCTATCTCAGGAATCCTCCTGTTTGTGCGTCTGCAGCACTGGGATTAGAAGTATACACATCACCAGGTGTTGGTGGCACACACCTTTAATCCCAGCACTGGGGAGGCAGAGGCAGAGGCAGGTGGATCTCTGTGAGTTCGAGGCCACCCTGGTCTCCAGAGCAAGTTCCAGGACAGCCTCCAAAGCAATACAGAGAAACCCTGTCTGAAAAAAAAAAAACAACAGAAAAATAAAAAAGTATGCACATTGCCATCCCTGTAGTGCGAGTGCGGGGCATGTTTCTGTGTGTGCGTGTTTGCCTGTGTGCAGAGGTCAGAGGTGTGCGGAGGTCACAGGCCAGGTATCTTCCTCTATCATTGCATATACTTCTTTGGTCCTGGAATTTCCAATAGGCTCTGCTGGCTAGCTGGATGCCGAACATTTTCACGTGGGGGTTGGAGTTGCAGTCGGGTCTTCATGAGTCTACAGTAAGAACTCTATCTACCAAGCGTCTATCTCTATCTCTTCAGCCCCTTGGTTCATTCAGAGAGCCTCCTGCTCATCCTTTGTGGTCTTTTGTCTTTGCTCCCTTACTTCACGTGAGGAATTGCTCCTGGAGGACTCTAGGTCGTCGCTCTCCTCACTCCCGACATTCACTGCTTTGGGCAGCTTCCCCACGGGGCAACAGGCAGTTCAGAGACATGATTGATTGCCTCCGCTGGTGATGCAGTTGCTTTTGGTACCCAGTGGGCAGAGGCCAGGATGGCTGCTGAGCATCTCTCAAGCACAGGATGGTGACAGCCACCTGAAAACAAAAAAGAATGTAACTCCAAATGTCAATGACATCCCAGGGTAGAAGCTCTGGTGGGTGGCTGGCAGTGAGCAACTTGACTCCTGTGCCATTTACTTCCACACCCTTGGACTTTGAACCTGGGTTTTTTGCACCCTCAATGTACTCTCCCTGTATTTACCCTCAACAACCCTCCCTTTTGAAGTTCTGTTCAAATACTCCACTCCTTAAAGGCCTCTTGGAGGCGCCTTTCGGGGACCTCTGCAGGAAGCCCACTCCTCTGGTGTGTGGTGTATCATCACATGAGGACCGCATTGTTCACAGCCCCGGTTTAAAGGACAAACCGAAGGCTTCTGTGTCAAAGATATGGGAGTCCTTCTCACACACACTTCATCTTTGAGTCCTTGTTGTCACATGGCCACGAGGAAGTTAGGGTCATTGTGACATGAAAATATGTTCACCACCAAACAACTGCCTGCTTGCAGCCTGCCCCAAACCCCAGGCTAGACCCTCAGCCTCTCACTTTTCTCACTGCTGTGAGAAAATGACAAGAAGCACACCAGAGGGAGGGAGGGTCTATCTTGGTTCACATTTCCAGGTTACAGTCCACGGTGGAGTCAAGCCAGGGCAAGAGGCACGGGAGGCAGCTGGTTACATAATATCCACAGTCAAGAAACAAAACTGTAAAAGGGGCTGGCAAGATGGCTCAGCAGGTAAAAACACTTGCTACAAAAGCTTGGACGACCTGAGTTTGATCTCTGGAACTGACAGAAAAGAGACAACTTTTTTTGTCCTTTTACAGACATGAGTCTGTAAAACCAACATTCCTATGGCAAATTGGGAAGTGGAGACAGGAGAATTGCCCGGAAGCTTGTGGGCTGGCTTAGCCTGAAGTACATAGCAGAAACATGAGAGACCATGCCTCAGCCAGGTGGAGGGTGAAAATGAGGTTGTCCTCTGACCGCCACATGCCACGTGAGCACTACGGCACATGTGTGTGTATGCGCACAGAGTAACATACATATATACATACGGAAAGAACAGAGAGCAATAAATGCCCTGACCGGCAGGGCACAACAGGTTCGAGCCCAGGGGAGCCTGG